AGTCATGATGGCCACGATGGTTTCCTTCTTCCTTGGCTGGCTGCCCTACCACCTCTACCACGGCTTGAAGCTCTATGAGAAGGAGGTGCCAGAGTCAGTGACAGACGCCCTCTTGGTAATTTACACCATAACATCCTGCTTCAATGCCTCCTTCTCTCCCATCCTCTACCTCTTTGTGGGGGAGAAGTTCTGGCAGGTCTTCAGGACGTCTCTTCACACTCTGGCCAAAGAGGCTTTTGTCGATGATCTCAGTGCCCCTGAGTCTAATGGAAGACAGGGGTCAGAAGTTGAGAAATCAAAAGAAGAGGTGATCTGAAGGTGCCCAGACTTAGGGAGAGTTGAAAACTTGGCATCCCCTTTGTTCCTAGATTCCTGCTGGTTCTGAAAGCTGATGGGATCGAGGTATCTCAATGTTTATAAACCCCTCAGTATCCCTGGATTCTAGATTCCCTGCTGTCTCCAGAATCCCATATGTTCTAGGTCCCATACGTTCTAGTGGGGAAGTGACTTGGCCAAGGTCACCCAGCAGGCCAGTGACAGAACTGGAACAAACGCCTGTCTCCTTCATCCTAGATGAGGTTTCTTTCTATTTCATCTTCTTACACATTGAGCTTTCTGGGACTGGTTCTGTCTTTTTGCTCTGTGTTTGTACCGCACCTACCACAGCGGGGTCCTGGGCCAGGATTGGGGCTCCCAGCACTACTGAAATGAAAAAAAATAATACTAATGATTCCCAGGTTTTCCTTGAACTACATAGTTTCTGTAAGGTTTGTGGGGCATCTCTGACATAATTTACAAACACCTTGTGACCAGCTCACTGGGATATTTCATGTGGGGAGGCTCTGGCTTAGTTTAAGAGTGGCCAGTAAGGAAAACAGGATGATAGAATAAAGAGGTGCACCGGAGAATCCACCTGTCCATGAACATTCCAGGGTGGTGAAGAGAGAACCTCCAAGCTAATAAAAGTAACTCTGTATGGAGTATGGGCGATCATTCATAATATTATGGATACAAAATTGTATTGGAACATACCTGATATGCCGTGTAAGCTATCCATGGAAACGTTATCATTTGATAAATATGATATGCTTGTTTAGGTGTGTGCATTCTTTTTGTGTCATAAGTTGTAAATATATGTGGTATATTGATATCTCAAATCTGTGCTGTGTGTCTGGGTGACATCCCCAGATAGATTACATCAGCACTATCCAGGTTGTTCGATGGCCCATCAAGAATTGGCTGGCAGTGTTGTATTTTGGGTAAGATCCAAACCAGTATTGATCTGAGAATGTGGCTGGCCCTTTGGGGATTAGAAGAACATTTTGTATAGTTAATAGAATTTTAAGTAACTTCTCACTTTACCGAACCTATTTTCTGACTGGAAACCTAAGATTGGAATGCAATAAAGGGAGCTGTGGGATTTCTTTCTTTTTTCTTGTCTTCTTGATAACCAGTGCGGTGGATCAGGAGCACAGCTTATGACTGGTTGGTGAATCTAACTACAGTGTTAACAACCAGTTTTGGGAGAATCTGCTCTCCTTTTTGCAGCCTGCCCTGAACTTGGCATTTTCAGTGTGGGCTGCCCTGTGCACCTCTGGTCAAAGGTCACAGTAACTGTGAAGATCCCACCTGCCAACTCCAGCTAAGTTACAAAACCTTGGCCAAGTCTGGGGCCAAGCAGATCCAAAAGATGATAAAGAGTTAAAAAGGTCCTCCCTGGTTGATTCTTCATCACTGGCAATTTTTAAAGCAGGACTGGATGGTATTTCTAATGGATCTGCTCTAGTTCAACAAAGGACTAATTCAGGGACGTTCTCATCAGGTTAGACTAGGGGACCACCATGCTGCTTCTGGCCTTGGAATCTCTGATTCTATCCAGACGTCAGGCAGATGTTGTTGAGGTGCTGTACCAGTTGTCACCTGGACCCACTGGGGTATTTCAGGAAGCCAGGCCTGTGTGGGCCACCACTCCTGCGTGGAGGACTGGGAAAGTTAGACATGCACGTAGCCCCTCTGTTTTAAAAATCTTTTCCCATTGCTACTGTTCAGAGGAAACAAGACTGCCAAACATGACAAATACTACCTCTTGCTGATTCATAATTTAATAGGATCTCATGTATTCTAGGAATCCTGGCCAGTTCTTAACCTCTTGCGTCCCAGGTCTGTCAGTGTTTTGAATGCGATCTGATCTGATGTAGGTTAGATTTAGATATCATATTTTCCAAACCACTTTATGTTTCAAAAGCCAATAGGATCCTATGCATTCTAGATATGTGGCTGGTTCCTGAACCTCTTGGGTTCTAGGTCTGCCAAGATTAAAAAACCCAAAGAGATCCTATGTGGTCTAGAGTGTCCTAGTTTCCAATCTCATATATGACATTGTAGACTACATAGGACCAGTGTGAGGTTCAGGAATCACTCAAATGTCTAGAACTCAGGGGATACTATTGTGGTTTTAAATGTGTGTGTTTGTGTGTGTGTATACATATACACATACACATGTAGAGATATAATATACACACACACAGTAGTACCCTCCAAAAATAGAACCATAACAAATAATCACCAATTATTTTGGAATATGAAGCCTGTAAGGCAGTAGGGCATGGAGTGAACAGACCAGATCCTCACCAGTGTAAATCAGTGTAGAGCTATTGACTTCACTTCAGAGTTCTTGGGATCTTCTGCTGCGAGATGAGTGGCATCTAGCAGGTTGGAGGGGGCTAGGAGCCAGGACTCCTGGGTTCAAACCTAGCTTTGTGGGGGAAATGGTGTTTAGCAGTTACAGTAGACTTAATAACACCAATATGTTTAATGAATTAGTGTCCAAATTGTTTCGCTCAACCACCAAAAAGCTGACATTTTCAACATAAAACATTTCAATTTTCTTATTCAAAACAGCTTTTTATTCATTTAAAATGTGTAAAAACCAAGTTCAGAAAAAAAAACATTTTGTTCAGATTAAAACAATCTCCACCCCCCACCCCCACAACTTTTTGCTAGCTAATAATAATAATAATAATTTGAGGCCGTTCGAAATGAGTCATCCCCACACCACCAACTCTGGTGCTCAGAAGAACCAGAGACCAAAATAATTGGTTATTGGAACAGGACTTACATGCCATGTGTGGTCCCAATTCAGCGCCCTAGTGGCAGAAGATACCAGGTTAAAGGTGATAACAGGGACGAGAACTCAAACATCTCCATGCTTCATTCAAAAGAGCAGTGGCTGTGTCTCTAAGCCCCCACGTGTCAGTTCAACGTGGGTGTTACTCACACTCAATTTCCGGTGGAAGCCGTACCCACAGAAGTGTGAACTGCTATTTAGCACTGGTGCAAACAGCTTCAGGAGCGGACTCACTTTTGCAGTACGACTGCACCGGCCCTTGGTCCCGTTGCGTAGCTGAGCTCAGGGCCCGTCCCAAGTTCGGCCTCTTTGCTATTTTCCCTCACTCTGCACCAAGAACATTATAACCATCTGAAAATGTTCAATCAGTGTGTGTGGGGGGGGAGGGGCCTGTATCGCGGGAACCTCTGGACCAAATGACCCCAAATTTGCATCAGAAACCACACCCCAGCCTCCATTCCTCAGTGCCAGATCTCAAGGCAGTTTCCCCCAGCCCTGTCCCGCTGTGGCATCCCACGTTTGTGCAGAGGGGCAGCAGGAAGCCTATCAGGAACTGCACCATGAACAGGACTGGATGGAGATATGTTCTCCATGCCTGTGTCTCGGTTTCGTCCCCCTCTCCAGAGAAGGTGTAACTATTGGTGCAGGTGAACCTGCCCCCTCCATCTCCAGGAGCTCCCAGAAACTCAGTTAGGGAGAGCTGAGAGTGAAGGAAACGAGCTACATGCTCATGAATAGCTTCCTGACCAGGGCAATGGTGCAGGGATGCCGGGACCTGATGGGGAGGCAGGTGAGGGTGCAGTGGTCCAGGCTGCTGAGGGTGAAGTTGAAGATGGTGGAGAATATGCCCAGGGAGAGGAAAACATTGAGGAGCTCATACATCGCCGTACCAAAGACCCAGCAGAAACCAAGGCTGATGTAGACACGAACAGAGTTATAAAGCAGGAGATGAGGACCAGATGGAAGGACAAGAGGGACGTCATCAACATCCTAATCCTCAACCCAAGAACCGACAGGCAGAGCCCACAGCCAGCCTCACCAGGGTGGTGCCACCTGCAGCTGCCGCTTGACTTCCCTTCCCAACTAGCTGGGGGTTGCTCCCATTGGCTGCAGGGCTGGCAGGACAGGCGGAGGAGCTGTGAGTGGCCGTGCTGGCTGGAAAGGCAGAGGGGCAGTCAGGGGTCGGGCCGTTCAGGAAGGCGGAGGGGCTGGGCTGGCCAGGAAGGTGGAGGGGGCATGAGAGGCTGGGAAAGAGGAGGGGCTGTGAGGCTTGAAGCCAGTCGGCAAGGTGGAGGTGCAGTGAGAGTCCGGGTTGGTTGGGAATGCAGAGGAGCTGTGAGACCCTAAGGAGGTGTAAGAATAACACAAAGGGGATTGGAGAAGATGAAGAGGTATATGCTAAAGATGATAAAGACTAAAAAAAGACCCACCCTGATGGTTTCTCCACCCACAGTTTTTAAAGCAGGACTCGATGGTATTTCTAACACTTCTTGGGCAGTTCTGAGCTCAGCGTCTGCAGCACCTGGTTGCAAGCGGCCACCTGAATCCAGCAGCCCTTTCCTCTCTGCACACTCACGTCCAACCCCGGGGCATCAGCCCGGCCACACTCATGCCAGCCGCCGTGGACGAATCTCTGGGGCGCGTGCCTCTTTGAGAGCCCCGTTGAAGCTCTAGTCCCTTTGGACACATGACTCCTTCCAATGGGTGGCAGGTGATGTTGATATTTGCCCAGGAGGTACTGCAGCTCCCAACATTTCTGTGCTTTCCCGCTTGGCCGGGCAGTAGTGAATTATCCAGTGGACCAACGGGGCCTGTGCCTAGGGCCTCTGGCCAATTGGGGGACCCAAAAAAATGGATGCCCCCAACAGCGGAAATGCCGAAGCCCTGGAAGAAGCATTGGGTGGGCAAGGAGGTGAAAATCCTTGCACCCCGACACCACTCCCCGGCAGAAGCGCTGGGTCAGGTGGGAGATGCCCCAGCACCCAGATCCCCGCTGCATCCCTGGCACTTGCTCCCTGCCGAGGCCTTGGGATAGTGGTTAGAGCAGGGGAGGGGTGACTCAGGACATCTGGGTTCTAGCCCCAGAGCTGGGAGGGGAGTGGTGTATAGTGGGTTAGAGAGGCTGGGGCTGTTTCTTAGGTGTTTTTTTTTCTTAGACAGTGTCTGAATGATCATTTCCAAATTTGGTTTGTAGCTTCTCCATCTCACGGAGCAGCTGGAGGCGGAGCGTGTAGAAGACACAGAGTTAAGGGGAGAGAGCTCAACACACAGGGCAGCACAGACTCACAGACACTTTGCTGGGAAACACACACCATCCGAGTCTCTCTCTGCGCTGGGTCCTGCACTGCCCAGGTGAGTCGAGACAATGGGCAGCTGCACCTCATTGGGTCTGAAGGGGAATTTCCTTGTTAATCCTACCTAGATGCCACAGACATTTGCTATTACCAAGGCAAACGATGGGACTCCCTTCCACTGGGAATTAATGGGGTTAACATGGAGACTCAATAGACAGAGGTAGTAGGTGGGGTCTGTGACATGGATGATTTTTTTTCTCTTGTTTCAGGTTAATCAGGTGAGGTGTTCCCCATTTACAAAGCTCTAAGACACCAGAACCCCCATCCCTCCCACAGCCCAGGAGTCCTGCCTCCCACTCCTGCAGCTCTAACCCACTAGACCTGACTCACTTCCCAGACGCAGGAATGGAACTCAGGAGTCCTGGCTCCCAGTCTCCCGTGGTCTAAACCTTAGGCCAGTCTGCAGAGCACAGAGGACATCATGCTAACAGGGCCGGGGGTGTGGGGGCGCAGTCGCTGACAGAGCCAATAGCCCAGAGATTCCTGGGCAGAGAAGCAGGTTGGTGTATTGCGGCTTCCTGTGTTACAATGAGGGTGAGAAGGACCCTGCACGCTCTGGAGTCAGGGTGTAGCAGCAGTCCCTGTGTGTGTATAACAGGTGGGGTCAGGGAGAGATGTTTTTTTCCACCATGTAGCAGTGAGTTCCACTGGCCCCAGCTCCTGCATGCTAGAAGTCACCACCACCGATCCCTACCTCCCTGAACCAGCTAGTCCCAGGCCCTGAAGCAAGATCAGAGCCAGCGCCTCCTAGTTGTGACAGGTCTCATGTGTTGTGCTAGAGTCTGCTTGGGAAATGGGTGTCCATTTGGTTGCGGAGTTCATGAGATGGAGCCCCCTGAATTTGAGCTGCTGCTAATATCCAAATGCCACTGAGACCCCTGTGTGTAGGGTAACTGCCTTGAAAACTGGTACTCTGCAACGGAGTCTGGGGTGGGGTTAGTGTGGCAAATTTGGGACCATTGGGTCAAGGAGCTCCCGGGATTCAGCCCCTCTCCCCAAAATATGAGCCGATTTCTCATTTTCAGATTGTCAGGGCATTCTTGGTGCAGAGCCAGGGAAAAACCAAAGGCTCGGACCTTCATGAAATGCAGAGCATGGACAGCCCCTGAACTCGGCTATTGAATGAGGGCCGGGACTGGTACAGAAATATTTCAAAAGTTGTTCCACTACTAAAATGTTTGTACTTTGGTTCACATGGTTTACATCTCTGCAGGGTATAGCTTGCACAGGAAATCTGGAGTGCGAAACACAGGCACTGAGCGGTGTGCTGACAGGGGCGGAGGGGCAGGGGCGGACCACAGGCACTGTTCTTAGTCTTTACACCTATAGATGAGGAGTCTGATGTTGTCCTCATCCATCTAAGCTTTCGTGGGCTAAAACCCACTTCGTCAGATGCATGGAGTGAAAAATACAGTAAGCAGTATATATATTACAGCACATGAACAGATGAGAGTTGTCTTACCAAGTGCGGGGGTCAGTGCTAATGAAGTCAATTCAATCAAGTTGGAAGTAGCCTATTCTCAACAGTTGAGAAGAAGGGGTGAATATCAACAGAGGGAAAATTACTTTTTGTAGTGCCATCATGTGCCAGCAATGCCCCTCTGCCATATACGTTGGCCAAACTGGACAATCTCCGACCAAAAGAATAAATAGACACAAATCAGACATCAAGTATTATAACATTCAAAAACCAGTAGGAGCGCACTTCAATCTTCCAGTACACTCAATAACAGACCTAAAAGTGGCCATTCTTCAACAAAAAACCCTTCAAAACCAGACTTCAACGAGAAACTGCAAAACTGGAATTAATTTGCAAACTGGACAACATCAGATTAGGCCTGAATAAAGACTGGGAGTGGATGGTCACTACAAAAAGTAATTTCCCCACTGTTGATACTCACACCTTCTTGTCAACTGTTGTGAATAGGTCATTTCCACCTTGATTGAATGGCTGCAGGTGGTTTCCCTGGAGCCACACTTTGTTCTGCTGGCTTGTTTTCCTTATTGGCTATTCTTAAACTAAGCCAGAACTTGCACACATTAAATATTCCAGTGAGCAGGTCACATGGTTGTTGTAAAGTATTTCAGAGCCGCCCCACAAACCTTGAATCTATGTACAGGTCTGTCTCATCTTACGCTGGGGTTACGTTCCGCAGTCAGCGCCTGAAGCAAAAATCGTGTATAGTCAAAATGACATTGACTGTAATGGCAGGCGGAATCGCCCGCACTACAGAAACAGTATTTAACTTGTTATTTTTCTCTTTTGGTTTTGCCGACCGCGTAAAGCTGAAATCGCGCATGTTAAATGCACCTACGATGCGACAAACCTGTAGTTCAAGTAACACCCAGGATTGATTATTACTTATTATATTTTATTTCCGGTAGTTCTGGGAGCCCAAGACCTGACCCAGGGCCGTGCTGTGCAAGGCGCTGTACAAACACAGAGTTGAAAGTGAGTCCCTGCACAAGAGAGCTCACCTTCTAGGGAGGCAGGGTAGATAGAGACCAAGATTGCCTCTCAGGAGACCTTGGTACTATTCCTGACTCTGCCACTGGCCATCTGGGTGACCTTGGCCAAGTCACTTCCACACTATGTGCCTCAGTTTCCCCATTTGTGATAACCAGGAGACTGCTACTAACCTCTTTGGTAAAATATGTTCAGATCTACTGAGGAAAAGCACTAGAGAAGAGCTGGGGTGAGTTTTTGGGCTGGCTGGAAAGTTGGGGCGGCCATGAGGAGCCGGGCCTGCTGGGAAGGCGCAGTTGCCATTAGGGGCTGGGCTGGCCGGGAAGGTGGAGGGGCCATGAGATGTTAGGTCGGTTGGGAAGCTGGATGGGGCCATGAGGGATCAGGTTGGTCGGGAATCAGAGGTGCTGTGAAGGGCCGGGCTGGCTGGGAAAGCGGCAGGGCTGTGAGGGGCTGGGTGGGGCTAGCTGGGCGGTGAGACCTGAAGGAGGTGTGGGAATAACACAAAGGGGATTGGAGAAGAGGGAGAGAGAGACAGAAGTGTGGAGCTCTAGCATGGACAACCCCTGAATTTCATTCTCCTCCATGCACAAAAAGGCAAGTCCCCCCACCCGTTGCAGGAAGAAGCAGTATTCCTGGCTACCAACACCCATGCCCCCTGATCTATCTCACTGGACCTCATCCCTTCCCGGATCCATGGATAGAACCCCGGAGTCCTGACTCCCACCCCACTCTCCCCGCTCCAACTCACTAGACCCCATTCTCCACACAGAACTTGGGATAGAACCCAGGAGTCCTGGCTTCCAGCCGCGCCTTGACCATGGGAGACCACTCCTCTCCCCGAGGCAGGGACTGAACCCAGGAGTCCTGGCTCCCAGTACCCCGCTCTAACCACTAGATCCCACTCCCCTCCCCTAGCCAGGGATAGTACACAGGAATCCTGGCTCCCAGCCCCTTTCCCACACAGCCCATTCTAACCACTAGACCCCACTCTCCTCAGAATTCAACCTTGGTCTCCTGTATCATACTATTGGGGGATGTTTTCCCAGTAGCGTTGGGTTCCCATTGGGGGTCTCAGGGTCCCAGCTCCGAGAATGGGGCCTATTAACGAACACTCTGGGGAGGGCTGGGTGTGACTGAGATTTTATCTAGAACAGGAAGGGATGTATCCACAACAAGTAGACAACACAGTTGCATCATTTGTGACTCAGCGTTTCTTGTGAGCTAACAGTGCTGGGTTATCTCTGGGTCGTGGTGCAGCCCCTGTCAGGAAAGAACTTGTGCAAAATACGGGCCCTTTCTCTTCATGGGGGCACGGTTCAATAGATGAGCTGCTGGCCAAGCATCTAGTGCATTAGAGCAGGGGAGTGGGGGCTGTGAGGCAGGACTCCTGGGTTCTATGCCAGGCTCTGGGAGGAAGTGGGGGCCAGTTTTAAAGCAATGGTTGTTGCTTAGGTGGTTTCTCTGCTAAGACAGTGTCCGAATGATCATTTCCATTCACGGTTTGCAGCTTGTGGATCTCAGAGAGGAGATGGGGGTGGAGCATGTAGAAGACACAGAGTTAAGGGGAGTGAACTCAACACACAGGGGAGGGCTCAGGGGTGCTTGGGACAGACTCACAGATGCTTTGCTGAGCAAACACACGCCATCCAAGTCTCTCTCAGTGCTGGGTCCTGTGCTGCCCAGGTGAGTCAAGACGATGGGCAGAGGCCCCTCTTTGGGTCTGAAGGGGAATTTCCTTTCTAAGGCTACCTAGAAGCCACAGAATTTTGCCATTGACAAGGCAAAGCAGTTGGACTCCCTGCCACTGGGTATCAGTGCAGTTACCAGTGGAACTCCGTGCCACTGGGTGGCACTGGGGTTAACCTGGAGCATTCAATAGAGAGAAGTAGGAGGTGAGATCTCTGACATGGGTGAATTTTTCTCTTTTTCACATTTAATCAGATGAGGTGTTACCCACTTTCGAAGCTCTAAAACACCGGACCCCACATCTACCCAGGAGTTCTGACCCCCATCCGTGGACATCTCTCCAAGAATTGAGGCTAGAACCCAGGAGTCCTGGATCTCACACCCCTTCTCTCACCATTAGGCCATTCTTTAGAGCAGAGAGAACGCCAATCTAAAAAGGACCATGTGGGGTGTAGTCCCAGGCAGCGGCAATAACCCAGAGGTCCCTGGTGCAGGGCTGGCAGCACGGCTGTGGGGCAGAGAAGGAGGTCAGTAGATTGAGGCTTCCTGTGTTACATTGAGGTGAGAAGGACCCTGCCCAATCTCACACATCAGGGTGTAGCAGCAATTCCTAGGACAGGCAGATGAGCACAGAAGACCGATTTGGGGTGGGGTGGCTTTTTCCAGCTTGTAGCAGTGACTTCCACCATCACCAGCTCTTGCATGCTAGGAGTCAACAGCACCAATTCCCATCTCCCTGAGCTAGCCAGTCCCTGCCCTGGAGACAGATTGGAGCTGGCGTCTGCCAGGGGGAAAGGCCCAATGTCCCATTCCCCACCCTTCTGACTCAGTCCATCATCCAGATAGTAGTGATGTGGTATTCCTGGCATAGCTGTGTATGGACCTACCAGACTGTCCCCTTCCCCACTGCTCCCACATCTGCTATCCCTCTTTTCTTCCTCTGCTGCCCATAGTTCTACCTTGTAGCAGTGAGTTCCACCGGCTATAGCCCAGTTGCTGAAAATACCCAGTCTGGATTTTCTGGAAGACAAGAGGGTGCCCACCTAAGTCCTGTCCAATAGTGTGTTCCTAACCCCCTCTGTTATTTCTTGATTCCTCCTCTTCCACTCTCCCCTTTCCCCTCCACTGTCATCCCTTCCAACCCCTCTTCTGTCTCTCCCCAGGGCATCATGGACCAAGGCAACACGACTCTCCCACCAACCACTGGGGTGAATTCCAGCCAAAACCCAGCAGGTTTGAATGCCACTTACCTGGCCTCTGCAGTGTTGCTCTTCCCCACCTTCCTGGTGGGTGTGGTGGGGAATGGGTTGTACCTGTGGGTGCTGGGACTGAAGATGAGGAGGACGGTGACCACTCTCTGGTTCCTGTCCCTGGTCTCCTCTTACCTCCTCCTCACCCTGCTGATCCCCTTCTTCATCATCTCCCTCCTCATGGGTTTACACTGGGTCTTTGGCATGGCCATGTGCAAGATCCTCAACACCTGCATCTCCGTGGGCATGTTCTCCATTGTCTTCCATCTCACCCTCATCAGCCTGGACCGCTACACTCTCACTCACCATCCCATCTGGTCCCGGAATCACCGCACCATGTCCCGGGCTAGGAAGCTGGTTGTGGGCATTTGGCTGGCTTCCTTCGTTCTCAGCACTCCCTACCTGGCTTTCCGGGAGACCCGGGTGGAGGACGGGGACAGGATCACCTGCAAGAATAATTACGCTCTTTCCAGAGACTGGAATGGAGCCAAGATGAAGGACATGGGCAGACGGGTCCACCTGGCCATTTTCACAGTCCGGTTCCTGCTGGGCTTTCTGCTGCCCTTCTGCACCATCACGGGATGTTATATCTGCGTTGTGATGAAGATGAAGGAGAAGAAGCTGGCATGGGCTGGGAAGCCCTTCAAAGTCATTGTGACCACGGTGGTTTCCTTCTTCCTTGGCTGGCTGCCCTACCACCTCTACCATGGCTTGAAGCTCTCCAATAAGGAGGTGCCAGGGTCAGTTATGGGTGCCCTCTTGGTCATTTACACCTTCACATCCTGCTTCAATGCCTGCTTCACCCCCATCCTCTACCTCTTTGTGGGGGAGAAGTTCTGGCAGGTCTTCAGAACATCTCTTCTCACTCTGGTGAAAGCGGCTTTTGTCGACGATCTTGGCAGCAGTGCCTCCGAGTCTAGTGGAAGACATGGGACAGAAGTCGAGAACACAAAATAGTTGATGGCCTGAAGGTGCACAGACTTTGGGAGAGTTGAAATCTTGCCATCCCATTTGTTCTAGATTCCTGATGCTTCTAAATCCAAATGGGTTTCAGGTATCTTACTATTCATAAACCCTGTAGTGTCCCTGGATTGTAGATTCCCTGCTCTCTCTAGAATTCAATGCATTCTAGGTCACTCAATTTTTTCAAACTCAGTGGATCATCAATGGCAGCAGATTAGTAGCAAGCTCCAGAATTTTGTTTGTTTTAGATCTCTCAATGTGTTCTAACCCAATTGACTCTCTTGGATTCTGCGTCACTAGCTGGCTCTGGAATCTCATTTACTGTAAGTCTCTCAATGTGTTCAAACTCAAAGTCTATGGGTTCTAGATTCCCATCTGGATCTAGGACATCACTGGATTCTAGAGTGTTTTCAAACCACATAGAATCCAACAGGTTCCAGATTGTTTGCTGAAAGTTTCATCGTGGTTCTAGATTTCCAAATGGTTTAAAATCCATTAGGCATAGTATATTATAGAAGAGTCTGTGTAGTACAATAGTGATATCTAGCTCTTTTCCAGTATTTGTAATCAGTAGATCTCAAAGAACTTTAGCAAGGAGATCATTAGCAGTCTTTCAGTTTTTAGAAATGGAGAAACTGAGGTACAGATTGGGGAAGTAGCTTGGCCAAGGTCACCCAGTGGAAACTTTGCTAAGTCCAGTGGCAAAACCGGGAACAAACCCATGTCAGCTGTCTCCCAGCCCAGGTCTCTATCCATGAATTTCCTTAGATTGTGAGCTCTCTGGGACAGGGACTGTCTTTTTGCTCTGTGTTTGTACAGAGCCTAGCACAGCGGGATCTTGGGCCAGGATGGGGGTTCCCAGTACTACCGAAATAAAAACTAATAATAAATTCTCATTCCCAGGCATTCCTTGAACTACATAAATTCTGTACATTTTGTGGGACATCTCTGACATAATTTACAAACACTGTGTGATTCGCTCACTAGGATATTTTGTGTGGGGAGTTTCTGGCTTAGTTTAACAGCAGCCGGTAAGGAAAACAAGCCAGCAGAATGAAGAGCAGCTCCAGAGAAACCACCTGCCTATGAAAATTCAGGGTGGTGAAGAGGCAACGTGCGAGCTAGTAACTGTGGCGCTGTATAGAATGTAGGTGACCATTCATAATATTATGGATACCAATATTGCGAAGTTGCATGAATCATACCAGGTATGCCATGTAAGGTATCAGTAGAAAAAGGTATGATTTGCTAAATATGGTAAGCTTGGTTATATGTATGTGTCATGTTTGAATTTGAGTTAGAAAAATGTGTGGTATATTGATATCTCCAATTTGTGCTGTGTATCTGTGTGACACCCCCAGACAGATTGGCATTAGCACTGCCTAGTCTGTTCGATGGCCCATCAAGGGCAATCGGCTGTACAGTAAACCCATTGAGAGAAGCCAGGGGCTATGCCTCTGAGTCAGCAGGACTTATAGGGACATGCCTGGGGACAGGGAACTCCAAGACTTTCTCCATACCCAAATGCTGGGAACTTGTGTTTGGGACAGAGGATATATACAGGATATAAGACGGCAGCTGCATCTTCTCCATTTTGTTTTTGACCTCTGGAGAAACTTCTGTACAAACTGCAGCTCTGCACAAAGACCTGAATGACCCATCCAAGCTTTGGGTGTGTTCCAGAGGGACTTTACAAGCCAGCAAACTCACCAGTGATAAATGGACTTTGAAGTCTCTGTGTGTATCTGATTGCTTCGACCATTTAACAAAACTCTGCTTGTTCTTTTCTTTTTGTTTATAGTAAAAACTTAGATTTTAGATGCTAAAGGATTGGTTGACAGTATGGTATTTTTGGGAAAAATCCAAACCAATATTGATCTGGTAATGAGGCTGGGCGTTTGGGGATCTGAAGAGCATTTTGTATAATGAATAGAGTTTTAAGTAACTTCTCACTTTACTGGACCTATTTGCTGATTGGGAGCCTAGATTGGAATGCAATAAAGGGGGCTGTGTGATTTCTTTCTTTTTTCTTGGCTTCTTGAAAACCAGTGTGGGGGATCAGGAGCACAGCTTCTGACTGGTTGGTGAATCTAACTACTGTATTAACCCCCAGTTTTGGGATAAACTGCTCTCCTTAATGCAGCCTGCCCTGACCTTGGCATTTTCAGTGTGGGCTGCCCTAGGCACCTCTGGTCACACGTCACAGTAACTGTGAAGATCTCACTTGCAAGCTCCAGCCAAGTTACAAAACCTTGGGCAAGGCTGGGGGCCGGCAGATCCAAAAGATGATAAAGACTAAAGAAGACCAAACCAGTTTCTCCATCACCAACAATTTTGAACGCCGGGCTGCATGGTATTTCTAACGGTTCTAGGGCAGTTCTGAGCTCAGGTCTGCAACACCTGGTTGCAAGCACCCCCCTGAATCCAACAGCCCTTTCCTCTTTGCACACTCACATCCAACACCGGGGCAACAGCCCAGCCACACTCATGCCAGCTGCCATGGACACATCTCTGGGGCATGTGCCTCTTTCAAAGCCCCGTTGAAGCTTTAGTCCCTTTGGACACGCCATCCCTCCAATGCGTGGCAGGTGGAGTTGATATTTTCCGAGGTGGTACTGCTGGACCCCACATTTCTGTGCATCCCTGGCCCTCCACACCTGACCGGTCTCAGGAGCTTGTCTGGGAAGTAGTGGATTATCCAATGGACCAATGGGGTCCATGCCTAGGGGCTCTGGCCAATTGGGGGCCCCTGGAGAAATGGATGCCCCACTGCCAGCAGAAATCCCAGAGCCCTGGCAGAAGCGCTGGGTTGGCAAGGTAGGGAAAATCCTCGCGTCCTGACACTGCTCCCGACACCACTCCCCGACAGAAGCGCCGGATTGGTTGGGGGAAGCCCCAGCACCCGGACCCCTGCTGCAGGCCTGGGACTGAAGGACTCTTGCTCCCTGCTGAGGCCTCGGGGTAGTGGTCAGAGCAGGGGTGGGGTGACAGAGGACATCTCAGTTCTCACCCCAGATGCAGGAGGGGAGTGAGGTCTAGTGGGTTAGAGAAAGTGGGGGGCTGGGAACCAGAGCTCCTGAGTTCTATCCCGGGCTCTGGCACGGGAGTGGGAGCTTGTTTTAAAGCAATGGCTGTTTCTTAGGTGGTTTTTTTGCTAAGACAGTGTCTGAATGATCATTTCCATTCATGGTTTGCAGCTCCACCAGCTCAGAGAGCAGGTGGAGGCGGAGCGTGTAGAAGACACAGAGTTAAGGGGAGTGACCTCAACACACAGGACAGTACAGACTCACACACTTTGCTGCTGCGGAAACACACACCATCCGAGTCTCTCTCTGCGCTGGGTCCTGTGCTGCCCAGGTGAGTCGAGACAAAGGGCAGAGGCTCCTCGTTGGGTCTGAAGGGGGATTTCTTTGTTAATCCTACCTAGATGCCACAGACATTTGCTATTATGAAGGCAAACCAGTGGGACTCCCTGGCACTGGGTATTAATGGGGTTAACATGGGGTCTCAATAGACAGAAGTAGTAGGTGGGGTCTGTCACATGGGTGAATTTTCCTCTTTTGTTTCATGTTAATCAGATGAGGTGTTCCCCATTACCAAGCTCTAAGCCACAGGAACCCCCGACCCTCCCACAGCCCAGGAATCCTGCTTCCCAGCCACTGCAGCTATGACCCACTAGACCTGTCTCACCTGCCAGAGCCAGGAATAGATACCAGGAGTCCTCTCTCACAGTCTCCCCTGCCGTAACCATAAGCCCAGCCTGCAGAGCACAGAGGACACCATGTTAACAAGGCCGTGGGGGAGCCAGTCCCAGACAGAGACAATAGCCCAGAGGTCCCTGGTTCAGAGCTGCAGCATGGCTGAGGGGCAGCTTGGTGGATTGAGGCCTTCCTGTGTTACAATGAGGGTGAGAAGGACCCTGCACGCTCTCTCGAGTCAGAGTGTTGCAGCAGTTCCTGTGACAGGCAGATGAGTACAAGAGACAGGGTGGGGGAGGGATGGCTTTTTTTCCCCACCTTGTAGCAGAGAGTTCCACTGGCCCCAGCTCCTGCATGATAGGAGTCAACACCACTGCTCTCCACCTCCCTGAACCAGCTAGTCCCAGGCCCTGAAGCCAGGTCAGAGCCAGAGCCTCCTAGTGGGGAAAGGTCTCATGTGCTGTGCTGGAGTCTGCTGGGGAAAAGGGTGACTGTTTGGTTGGGGAGTTCATGAAATGCAGTTCCCGGCATGTGAGCTTCTCATAAGATCCAAATTGCACGGACACCCCTGTGTGTAGGGCAACTGCGTTGAAAAACTGCACTCTGCAACGGAGGCTGGGGTGGGGTTTCTGTGGCAAATTTGGGAGCGTTGGGTCAAGGAGCTCCCAGCATTCAGCCCTTCTCCCCAAAATATGAGCTTGTTTCTCATTTTCAGATTGTGAGGATGTTCTTGGTGCAGAGCCAGGGCAAAACTGAAGGCTCAGTCCTTCATGAAATGCAGAGCATGGACAGCCCCTGAACTCGGCTATTAAATGAGGGCAGGGACTGGTACAGAAATATTTCAAAAGTTGTTCCACTACTAAAGTGTTTGTACTTTGGCTTACCGGCAGTTCACACCTCTGCAGGCTGTAGCTAGCACAGGAAATCTTCAATGAGAAACACGGGGACTGCGCTTTGTGCTGACAAGGGTGGGGTGGGGAGACCACAGGCACTGTGCTTAGTCTTTGCACCTATAGATGAGGAGTCTGATGTTGTCTCATCCATCTTAGCACATCCAACCTGCTGTTTGTGAGGTGTCTCAGCAGGGCTGGGCATTACTGGGGGTGGGGGTTAGCTAGACCAAGAGGAGGCAGCCTTTCACAGGATTCAGTTCACAATTTGATGCACTGGCAAAACGTAGAGAATGCAGGAATCCTTGTTTTGTTCCCCACCTACCCTAACCACCCCACTTCCCTGCCAGAGCCAGGGATAGACCCCAGGAGTCCTGATTCCTGGCATCCCCTGCTCTAACCCAGC